CGGTATGATATTTCGTAGGGTGGCAGAATTTTCAAGTGTCCATCTTCAGGTAAGTGAGAGTGCTGTGCTGTGCAATGCCCTAACGTATCACATCTTCCCACATTGCAGATTCTTCTTTAACTAAATCGCCTCTTTGTACAATGGATATTAGAAAATCGGCCTCAAGGATGAGAAATTCTTTTGAGCTGAACAAGACGGCTGTTTTGACGCCATAATAGAGAAGCCAGTGAGCAAAAGAATCAACACAGTTCCCTTGCGTCGGTTTCGTTCGTTGTATAACAATTCACATGACGGACGGTCAGCAAGCGATTTCCATATACGCATGAGATATCTCTAAGCAAGTCTGTTCTTTTATGTAACTATTAGGGATGAAACACCCATTATTTTCGTCAGCGTATTTGTATGTATTCTAGGTGTAATGGAACATTCAGTGGTAAACATTACTGAATTAAGTATTGACATCATAGCTACAGGCCACAATATAATTTTTAGTCTGGCGCAACAGAGAATAGCGACAGTATATTTACCAAGTAAATCCAGAAAAGACATCTGTTCCGATATCAAACACGTCATTTTCGCGTATTGAGCTTTATTTTCATGGACTTGTTTTTCTGGAGCAGAAGCTCTGATTTTTTGGCGATTTTAGCCGTGACAGGGTCATCCACGTGACCGTAGTTGTTACCGAAACGCGACCATCAATATGTGACGAATATGCAATGTCGAACGATCATGCAATCTAAATCAGATGAAAAAAAAAACACGAACGAAACGGGAACTGTGTCGATTCTTTTGCTCACTGGCTTCTCTATCATGGCGTCAAAAACAGCCGTCTTGTTCAGCTCAAAAGAATTTCTCATCCTTGAGGCCGATTTTCTAATATTCATTGTACAAAGAGGCGATTTAGTTAAAGAAGAATCTGCAATATGGGAAGATGTAATACGTTAGGGCATTGCACAGCACAGCACACTCACTTACCTGAAGATGTAATGACATGGACACTCGAAAATTCTGCCACCCTACGAAATATCATATCA